ATGTATTTTAAAAAATATTTTTTCTATATTTTGAGTAAAAATGAATTTCAACATACACAACATACGGATTTAAAATATATTTTTTCTTCCATATGGGCTAGCAGTTAAGTAGTCCCGATGAGAACTAGTTGGGTCTTGCACCTAACTGCCCTCTCCCTTTTTCTGGCCCAGGGGGTAAAGGAGTACTCACACTGTCCTGTCCTGTCAGTGTGGTGGGTTGGTAGCTGCTTTCAGGATTTTTGCTGGGCTGGTTTCTTCCCTGTGTGCTCAAGATGTCCTCCCTAGGAGACTTTGGGCTCCTATCCAGCAACCAGCCTGTAGGTAGGCACCCCTCCCTGGGGCCCCTTCCCAGGCTCCACACTCTAGCTTTCTCTTAGTCCTTCTTCCACTCAGCTCCCCTGCTGCTCAGGCTCTGTCAGATTAAAGGGCTGTCCTTGGTCACCATGCCTGGCCACCTGCCTGGGGATTGGCCAATGTCCCTCACATATGCAAATATGAGCCTTCTCCCCTCCTCTGCTCCTCTTCCACAAAATTCTCTAAGTTTTTGGAAGGGTGTGAGGGCTCTAGAAGTCCCGACCTGTAGAGCCTCCCAGCCTGTTCTGAGGTGAACTTACTACCTCAGTCATAGGCTGACTCATCCCAGGCTGTTACCCAGCCTCTAACTACAAAACAATAAACCTAGCTACTTAGAGGGCACTACAAGTACAAATTAGGTTACTCATCAAAATGCTGGCTTTTGGATAGATCCAGATATAGGAATGACCTCTAGGAGCCCTCTCAGATTGTAAGCTCTAAGGAGCAGGGCCCTCTGAATCCTCCTCTATTAATTTGTATTGTAATTGTACTGTCTCCACTCATGTTTTACAGCGCTGCATAAACTGTTGGCGCTATAAATCCTTAATAATAATAATAATAGAAGAATTTCCAGTGCTGTGCATGGGTGGTAACATTGACAGGTTGGTCCTGCTAGCCTTTTATTTTAGCAGAATGTGAGGGTCCTTTCGTTAAATGATAGGAAAGGAACAAAGTAAAAATTAACAAATATAAAGGGCAGCTGTGTATATTATTATACAAAATCTATATAGTGCCAACAGTTTTCTCTTCACAATATAAAGGGAGACAATACAGCAATGATACAGTTCAATACAAGAGGGTTAGGAGGGCCCTGCTCCTTGGAGCTTACAATCTAAAAGTTTATAGGCAGGTGCAGTCTGTACTCCCCACTGTAGGTTGCGCTTGACCAAAGCGGCAAAGCAGAAGGGATAGGAAGTCCTGAGGAACTTAATTCCTCTGTAATTTTCTATGGTCATCTGAGAGCAACTGTCGGATTGGGCACTGGCCACTGACCCTCTGGCCCCCTGATTTGGTGTGCATTGCGAATTGACTACTGTAGGAACAGGTTCTCTGTCTGTCAGGGACAGTGCTCAGTACCAAGAAAAGATTCTTGGAGTAGCTCCCTTATTGGATTGGACCAGCCAGGCTGCATTACTCCTCTCTGCAGATGCTGTCAGTATTGCTTATGTCGCAAGATCACTGCTGCGAGTCTTGTAATTGGCTCTGGATGGCTGTGCTCACCCGTCGTGCCTAGTTGTACCTTGTTGGAATGTTTCAATATATTCAGTTCACCAAAATCTGCCTCTGTGTGTTCTTTATCGCCTCCACATATGTGGTTAGCAAGATGCATCTCCACTAAAAGATTTGTTTTAGAGTTAAAAATAAGAAAAATCATGCAAATTGTACAGGGGGAACCTCTTTGCCACATACAAACAATCATTTGCCCATCACTATCACTTAGCAACTTCAGAATCATGCAGTGCATGAAGCTGTGCTTAAAAGAAATAGGTAGAGTCACCAGTATTGGCTGTAGATAATCTTTACCCCATTACCGACTTAACATGCCTTGTTCTCCACTCTGTGTTTGTCTGGAGGAAACAATCTTGGTAATGGCAGGGCTTTACATACTCAAGTCAGAACCCATAACAAGGAGGAAGGTGAGAAGAACAACAGTGATTTCACCAGTTCTCACTGCAAATCTTCTGAGGTTAGTAGTCATATTTACAGCTCTGTAAGCACATCCTAGATAAGGGTCTGGTATAGATGTGGGGACTCCAATGCAAAAGAAAAACAAACAAAAGACAGGAGTGTAGCAATCGTGCACACAGAGACGCGGTCATCAATTTTGCTCCAAACCCCTCCATCTTGTATATCTCCCAAATCAGATTCCTCCGGTATCCCCCCTCCCTCTCTGTTGAGTGACATGTGGCCTGGATGATGACAGAGATCACAGGCAGCAAACTCATTGGGAGGGCGTCATGGCTATAAACCTCAATTAGCTGCTGCCCATATGTCTGCCAGACTCTTGCTTGGAAAGGGATCGTAAAGACATAAACCAAGTCCCTCGCTGAGCCTCAAAGACATTCCAGATAAGCAATAAAGCAGACATCACATTCAAGACCCACTTTCCGCTATAATTACATATCTTGGAATATGAGAGATGTACATAAAAAAACGGGCATATATTCAGATCGGTCTCTTTAATACAAGTCGTCTGATATATTACACCCCCTATCTGACATATACAGGAAAGCAGAGAATGATATCTCCTTACCCGTCACAACAGGTATGTCATATTTCATATGTAGACGTTCAGCAGAAGATTCTGTGTATTAATCTACTCGTGGATAGAATGTTATATGTATCCAAGGTAAGTTATGAAGCATGACATCAACTGTGAGGGTTTTAGGTCATAGCTTGGGTCTCCGCCTGCAACACCCGCCCAAATAAGGCAATCGGTTCTCTGCTTCAGGGAGACACCCTGCTGAGTTCCTAGAAAAAGCTGTTATGCTTGGAGCAGAAAGCTAAGCTGAGTTGAGCTAAGTTGAAGATTCTCCCTTGTAACATTGGAACCAACTCTGGGAGATGACCTTTTTGCTCAGAACACTTGAAAGCTGCTTAAACCAAGGCTTTTGGCAAGTACTTTATCTATCTAAATTCCTTTCTGTTATCTGTTTGCTGTGTTATTGCTCTCTGTATATTTATATATATATATATATATATATATATATATATACGTATATTGGCTATATCTTTTTCTGTAAATATTTTTATTGCACCCTTTTGACCTTTTAGTAATAAATCTTACTTTCTGAAAGTGCTGAACTGTTTCTAAAGCTCTTTAATGCAAACTAAGAACCTCTGTCTCTGAAGAGCGCTACTGTGTGTGTTTAAACTTCTGTATAACCTGCCTGTGGTGACAGTGGTATACAGACGATTATTTAACCATCATAGTGTTATTGCTGATATTGCCGAGTTTCCTCTTTCTCTGTACAAAATGGAGGTGGTGGCAGTGTGAAGAGTTAACTAACCTGACCCAGTAACAATCGCTCCCAGGCTGCCGGCACACAGATTGTGTTCCATTGGCTGGAAAATCTTTGTGCAGGGCGCAGCTGGGCGTGGCATTGTTACGCAGGTGACAGCGTGGTTTTAGATTGGCTAGTACTTCGGTCACGAGTTTGGTGAGAAGGGCTGGGGTCTGATGCCGCGATCCTCACAAGGAGGTCTTCTCCAAAGGTATGGATTTGAAGGGGAAAATCCATCCAAAAAAATCAAGAAAAGCAAAAGCATAGGCTCACCCTCAAAAAAAGAAATCCAGATATGGATATTTTGGACAAGGCAGAGAAGTAGGACAGTGACATCATGCTCTCCACCTGGCCCAGTCAGAGCACACCTTACATTCATTCAGAAAATGCAATGTACTCTCTGAATAATGGCGGTGCCTCCTGTGTGCAGCAGGGCAGCCTCTCAGCATAGGACCTGGAAGCTGGTGGAAATCACTAAAATAGCAGTGTCTACTTCAGTGATTTTCAGATTCCAGGGGCATTGGCCAGATAAAGTAAATACATAATTACATTAGTCCAAGCTGGAGCAATGTAACTATGTATAAAATATCCATACCTAGAATTTATCTTTAACTACCTGCTGATCCATGTCTGGTCCCGTTGATTCACTCCCACTGAATTACCAGTAGCTGATATATACAAATGGGGCTGGGTCTCCCATGTGCCATCATTGATGATATATGACCAATGATGTCATTGGAATGTCTGTGATGTCAATGACCAAATGTAGGCATGTCCTCTACTAACCTAATTACTTTATTGGCTCAAACACTTCCTGACACCCAATCTATACAGTCCCAATCATGATACTACTGCACCAGTGTTCTGGTAATAAAACTAGATAGTCTGACCCCAAAAAAACTAAAAAAAAGTTCAGCCTGTCCATTCTTAGTTGCTAAAAAAGGATTTCTGTGTTTAAGTTGCCTTGGAATTTTAAACAATCCAGTTTGTATCAAAACATAGTTTCATGCCCCATACTGATCCATAAAGCTAAGTGCAGGCGACAGAGTTTAGAATGTTAAATCACTTGTCTTTTCTGTGTCTCCAAAACAGATACATTTCAATCAAGTAAGACTTGGCAGAAACTGTCAGAAAACAGTGAATGCTTATATTGTGTTCTGCTAATTCTATCACCACCTCAGTAATATATACAAGAAAAATAGTTTAAAAAAAATTATCTGCAAATCTTAATCTTCAAATTGCCAGTGTTGCCTCTTATTCACTCATTGAAATGTGCAAGGTTATGTACACACGCCAATGGGAATTCATATTTACTTTTTACCAGTGAAAGATGAACTTGATGCTGAGTTTGTGCCCTGAAGGAAAAAAAACTGCTTGAGAGTGCAGTCTTTGTTCCCAGAGAAAACAAGAGAATGAAACTCCGATACGCATCTGCAAGAGAGGAATCCAAGATAAGTACAGTTTGGAAAGGTATCACAATGGCTTAGTTCCAAGTAGGAGGACACATCAAACAACTACATAACTTCACCATGGTAACATCAGTTGAGGAGAGAATATAGGGTGCCCAGGTGAACTCTTAGCACCAATTCCAACAGGTGACTTCCTATCAGTACACTGCTCCATCTATCCATCAGGACCACCATGAGTTATAGCTATGCACACAGCGGCTCTTCCAGGGCTGGAAGTGGTTTCTCATCTCGAATTTCTAGTGGTGTCTTGGGGTCATCAAGTGTGCATGGAGGGTATTCTGGCCCTGTTGTTTCTCACTCAACCTCTAGGTTGATGTCTTCTGGATCTAGTGGTGGCTCCTCTTTCATTGGTGCTGGCAGCTCTGGCTTTGGTGCCAGCCATACAGATGGAGTTCTCTCTGGAAATGAAAAGTACACTATGCAAAACCTCAACGACCGCCTGTCTAATTACTTGGATAAGGTGAAGTCTTTGGAAGATGCCAATACGGAGCTAGAGCACAAGATTCATGACTGGTATGAGAAGCAAGGATCAGTCACTGTGCGTGAACAAAACTATTCTCCCTACTGGACAACAATAGAGGAGTTGCGTGAAAAGGTAACATAACCTTCTAACGTTTTTGACATAACTTTTATAATTAGTAAACAGACATTTTTATTTCATATGTTTGTTTATAGCAGGTTACCTATCAATGTATAAAAGTCCCATAACATCAAGAGTATGGGATTTTATTGTCAGGGTTTAAAATCTGAGAACAATCTTCAAATTTGCCCAGAAGCAGATGTCAATAAAAATAGACAATAGTAGTTCATGACAATCTTCTGGCAAATATCTGGTGGCCTGTGAAGTAATCATAATTGTGAATCCCTTGGACAATTATATGGTTACATTGACAGTATAGCAGGAGCTTATAAGGGAACATGCAGAGTTGTAGCCATCCTGGGGTTGTTTATTCCTCCACAGGACATCAGTGTGGCTGTTTCCTGTTCTGAATACATCAAGACTCATCAGCAGGAATGCATTAATTGCATAAAATAATATAATTTAGATATGATTGATTTCCACTGTACTCTAACTTTTTCCATTTTTAAATAACATATATTTAGGTACTTTCAAGATTTATATCCATGGTAAAAGCATGGAGCCTATGTTTCTTCAAACTGGGTCCACTTTTGGGGACATAGGAGAGAGGGGTCAAAAGCAAGTAACTAAATTGATAAAAGGGAAGCAAACTCGTATTTACAAGGGACGAATGGAAAAACTTGAAAGTTCAGAAAAAATACATCATAAAAAGGCTTAAATAACATGTTTCAATATCTCTGAGGTCAGTATAAAGATTTGGCAGAATAGCCAAAGGATAGTACAAAAGGCGACATTAGTTATGTATGATGGAAGGAGATTTTTTCCCATCAGTTTAGGAAGGAAGTCTTTATAGCAAGTGTGCTGCACCTGTGGAATGCTTTACTGAATGAGATAGTAGTGGCAAAAACAACAATGCAATGTAAATACAACCGATTGCTTCCTTGCGGATATTAACATTTAAAGTTATTCTGTTAAAGGCCAATATAGCAATATTTTTTTATAATGTGGCAAATTTGGCAAGTTGGCTTGGAGGGGGTGAATTTTTTTGCCTTCCTTTAAACCCAAACTCTAGATGTTGTCAGAGGTTGAACTTGACAGAAATCAGTGCATCAGTTTCAACCTAACTGACTATGTCACTGGTGCCTTTCAGAGTTACAAACTATAAATTTATGAGGGGAACTATTTTGAAATTATCTGGCCTCTTTCACAGATGCTACCGGAGAGGATTCCCCCAGAGAAGATACATTAAAGTGCCAATCAGATCAAAAACACTCTGTAGAGATATATGTCTTGTTGGCTTAGAAATGTCCCAAAATATCTCAGAGAGGGCTTGACTATGTGTCTGGGTAGAGTGACATCTGGCTTAAAGCTGAGTTTCATGTATTTTTTTTTGCATAGTTACATTGGTCCAACTTAGACCAATGTAAGTATACATGTACCATACCTGGACGATCCCTGTAGAAGCAGAGAATCACTTTTGTAGCCACCCTACTACAGCGGTCCTCTTGTCTTCTTGGTCCATTGCCAAGCGGTTGCCCTGATGTATAGAGGGTCTCCAGTTCGGGTGCCATTTAGAAAATGCACTGTATTTTCTCAATGAATACAAGGTGCTCCCAGCTTAGAAAAGAAGGAGATCATGATTTCACAACCCTTCCCCTCCCATCAGAGAATGCATGAATGCATGGGACCCCAAAGACACAGCATCTGACAGCTACTACAATAATTCTCGGCTTCCAAGGGTATCAGCCATGTATGGAATATGTATACTTACATTAGTCCAAGCTGGTCCAATGTAACTAAGCAGAAAAAAAAGCTGAAATTCATCATTACCTGGCTTGTAAAATTCTTTCAGGAGCAGCTGCTGGGAGCTCCTAACAAACTTTCCCAGGAATCAAGGCAGAAGCCCAATTTTGTTTGAAAATGGATGGATTTAGACAAAAAGCGGTGGGGTATAGGTGGAGTTCTGTAGACCAGCTGGAATGGCTGACAACCCTTCATGAGGATGAGGATTTCAAGTACTGTGTTGTCAACACAAGCAGAAAATTAGAAGCACATTGGATTTCTGAAAGATCACTACTTGCAATTGATAAGACATGGGGGAAATGTGAATGTATTGAATGGTTTTTGTTTTGTTTTTTTATTATTTGCTTTGATTTATAAAATACTGTATGAGGATCCAAATGGTGTAATTCTTACAGATCCAGACTTCTACAGCTGAGAACAATCAAGTCACCTTAGGAATGGACAATGCTCGCTTGGCTGCGGATGATTTTAAACTCAAGTAAGTTCATGTAAATTTTCTTAAAGGGGATGTATGGTCTTATCACAATTTTTTCAGCTTGATGTAAATATTCTTATTAGTACATGGTAGCTTGTTTTTATTTATTTTTTTTGTATGTAATTTTTTACTCATTACATAGGCTCTGCTTCCTGCTTTGCAGTACATGCTACAGAGTGGTTGGGCTTTACTTTTCCTTCTAACAAATCAGGATATGAACTGGCTGACTCATTCACAACAAAGCGGCTGATAGCTTATCTTGAGAGCAATTATGAGAGCTAAACCGGTCTTAGATGGTTTGAATCTCATCTGGTTCAGCAGGGACTGGTGATTAGAACTATCTATGGCCAGGCTGATTGTACCCAATTCAGTTGTACGACTTGGGTACAACCAGCCTGTCGGACTTTTCATGTGATTATTACCAGCGGCTATAGCCGCTAGCAATAATCATTGTGTTCTCCTGGCAGGGACAGCTCCCCCTTGCCCATCCACCAGGAGAACACAATAGCTCTGCAGGAGGGACACTGACTGTGTTGATGGGGAATTGAGCAATTTTCTTCCCTGCACCCTGTGGTCGCAGGAGAGAAAATCACAGTATGTGACCGACTCTTTACATCAACCCAATCAACAGTCAGCTTTTGTGTTCTCCCGGCAGTGGATGGCACGGGGGAGCCGTCCCAGCTGTGAGAACACAATAATTATTGCTAGTGGCTATAGCCGCTGGAAATAATCACATGCACAATCCGACAGGCTGGTTGTACCCAAGTCATGCAACAATCGAATTGAGTACAATCAGCCTAGCCATAGATGGGTTGAATATCCCTGCTGCAAAAAGTGAAAAACATGAAAGAGCAAGCATGTGGAAAGTCATTAAAAGTCACTTTAAGGACAACAGTTTGCTAATACCTCAAAAACAGTGCCCACTGAATATGCATTCTACTTCACATTAAATGCGCATGTGTTGTGCAGAGAAGCAGGGGCGGACTGACCATTTGGAAACTCAGGCACTGCCCGAGGGCTCGGGGTCATTAGGGGGCCCCATGAGATGCCCTTGGTACCTTTTTCATAGGCTTTTTTGAGTTTGGGCAAGGACACAGGGGCCCCATGATCCCCTATTGCCCGGGGGCCCCATGAGTTGTCAGTCCACCCCTGCAGAGAAGAACACAATTTTATTTTCAAATTCATTGCTTCTTGCTTCACATCAGAACATTTCGAATTTATAAAAAAAAACTGTATATTGACTGATCACTAGCATCAAAATTCCATCTTAGACTTGATAACTCAAAATGCAATCTTATGCATGTAAAATGACACGCAAAGTCTTTAAAACAGACAATACTTTAACTGGGCAGAAGATGCTTTCCTATGAAAGACACAGAGCTTATAGCTTATTAAAAAAAAAAAAACTTTAGGTGCTTATTATGGTAAGTTAAAATCATGACCTTAGTTGCCTGCTACTGGACAGCTTTATACATTCTAAGGCCACAATCTTGCTGCCTTCAGGTATGAGAATGAGCTACACCTGCGAATGGGAGTCGAAGCAGATATTCAGGGCTTGAGAAGGGTGTTGGATGAATTAACACTTTCCAGATCTGACCTGGAGTTGCAGATCGAGAATCTGAAGGAAGAGTTGGCCTACATAAAGAAGAATCATGAGGAGGTGAGGGTTTTTGGGTTTTGTACACAGGAGGAAAATAAATGGTATAGTAACTAGAGGTGTCCATGTACCTTGGAGACCCAACTCTGACTCTGATTAAATGTTTGTCTTTGACTTCATCAGTAGACCATTGGTGTGTTTTTATCAGCTGGAAAAGTTTTTAAAGCTCACCAATGTATTATACAACATTGTATATATGGCAGAAAGAAGTCATGAAACTCTGGTAAATTATATAATAAATTAACTGGAATTAATTATTTGTGAGTTGTTCTTATAGACCATATTCCAGTAGATGCTTCCATTTATATTTATTCCTCTTTGTTCAGGAAATGAGTGACAAGGGCAAGCAGATGAGTGGAACGGTGAACGTGGAGATGGATGCAGCTCCAGGATCTGACCTATCCAAGGTCTTGAGTGACATGAGAGAGCAGTATGAATACATTGCCGAGAGGAACAGGAGGGATGCAGAGACATGGTTCTTAGCTCAGGTATGATTCTACCAAGGTTTATGGTTTCCTCATCCTCCTTTTTATAGAATGTAACTGCACGTTGTTTTTCCATTTATAGAGTGAATCTCTGCAGAAGGAAGTTGTGTCCAACACACAACAAGTCCATTCCAGCAAAACCGAATCCACAGAGTTGAGACGCACCATGCAAGGCATGGAGATTGAGCTGCAGTCACAGCACAGCATGGTGAGTCCACTTGAAATTAGAGAAATCAGACTTTGATGAGTTTAAGGATTTAGAAGTATTTACATGTCAAGGCAATTCTATCACTAAAATCAAAGTGCCCACCCACATGATTGCCTTACTGTTAAGATCTTGAGATATGGGGCTATCTACGAATCAAACGCTTTGTCAGCTCAAAGGACTGTAAAAACTTGACACCTTAGCACTAGGAAGTTGCAGAGAAGCTGGCTGCAGAAATACAAATGCAATGACCATTGTGCAACTCAGGCTGGATGTGGTGGTGCAGCTCTCCTCAGATTAGGGTTTGTTGGTGTAGCACCCTCCTAGATAGGTGCTAGGATTTGTAACTCTAATGCTGGCTCACTGTGTTCAGTGGAACTGTGTGTTTTTTGCTAGGTAAATTTAGCTTGCCTTGCTGTAACCATTGTGGTTGTGATTAGTGTGTTAAGAAAATTTAGTTCTGCTCACTGTATCCAGTGCAGCTGATTGATTAGGTCAGTTCACTGTTCTCAGCTGCTGCCAGCCTTATAGCTCCCTCTGCTTTCCAAAAATCAGTAGAACCAGGGGCGGACTGACAACTCATGGGGCCCCCGGGCAATAGGGGACCATGGGGCCCCTGTGTCCTTGCCTAAACTCAAAAAAGCCTATGAAAAAGGTACCAGGGGCATCTCATGGGGCCCCCTACTGGCCCCGGGCCCTCGGGCAGTGCCCGAGTTTCCAAATGGTCAGTCAGCCCCTGAGTAGAACTTTCTGGATTATAGGTATGGAGTTATGTAGATGACATCATGAATATTTACAGAGCTCTGGCCAATCCCAGGGAGCAGGGCTCTGAAGGCTGCTGGGCGACTGTAAATATTCTCTGAGCACACAGATCTCCGTGTCTATTCCTGCTCAGGATCTGTCTAGCCTGGAGCACAGCTGCACTCCAGGGCTACACTGCCATGTGTTTGCTATTCGTGAGGCCTCAGGTGGGTGACCTGAGGGCCTGGATGCTGAAGCTACAGAGAGCTGACTGAGGGGCTGACTGCTGAAGATCTAGTCTGGTATCACCGGAGATAGGTGTTGCTTGGAAGTTGGAAGGAGGCAACCAACTGAACCTGGACATTTGTGGGCACATACTTCTGTGAGAGATCTTAAAGACTTTTGGACTCTTCTTGTGCTAAAAAGTCAGCTGTGTGGGTTTGCTAAAGGGAACATCGGTTGATGTTCTGAAGTGCTCAGACTATCTAGTTCTCTGTGAAGGGACTCTGCTCTTGTTGCCTTAAAGGAAGAAGCTTGTGTGCTTCTTCTGCTTCCATTACAAAGCCAAGTCCACAGCAGTGGCGGACTGACCATTTGGAAACTCGGGCACTGCCGAGGGCCCAGGGTCAGTAGGGGGCCCCATAAGATGCCCCTGGTACCTTTTTCATAGGTTTTTTGAGTTTGGGCAAGGACACAGAGGCCTTGTGATCCCCTATTGCCCGGGGGGTCAGTAGGGGGCGCCATGAGATGCCCCTGGTATCTTTTTCATAGGCTTTTTTGAGTTTGGGCAAGGACACAGAGGCCCCATGATCCCCTATTGCCCGGGGGGCCCCATGAGTTGTCAGTCCACCCCTGGTCCACAGTTTACTATATGCAAGGCTTTCTGCTTCAGTTTTATAGAAAGGAGATCACTGTCCTCAATTTGTACATAGCTTGTGTCCAACTCAATTCCCTCTTCCCTAGTTCCTCAAAAATAAAAACAACAAAAACAACACCGCTAGACTGCTTATTGAAGAAAAGAGTGACTGTGTTCATGTGCAAGGCAATCCACTGGGGACGAACCTGGGCAAAATTTACAGAAGCTCCTATGGGAGTAAGTGCCACAGGCGAATCTTGGATTGTACAAATAACAAAACTGAAGGGCGCAAATGCCTAGCACATTATCTACATTACTTTATTAAAATATGAAAGATACAAATTATACTCACAAAACAAAAATGGATTGCTAGCATATCATGAATACAAAAATCAGAAGTATGCCCTCTAGCCTCATGGGACTAAACAGATGTCCATACCAGCTGACGCGTTTCAGGAGACCAACCTCTTCTTTGAGCAAAGATCACCTTCTGTTTTTGTTGTTCGTACTTTGTCAACTCCCTTCCTCTGAGTTAACAATCTTTGAAGTCACTAACAGGGGCAGACTGACAACTAATGGGGCCCCCCGGGCAATAGGGGATCATGGGGCCCCTGTGTCCTTGCCCAAACTCAAAAAAGCCTATGAAAAAGGTGCTAGAGGCATCTCATGGGGCCCCCTTTTGACCCCGGGCCCTCGGGCAGTGCCCGAGTTTCCAAATGGTCAGTCCGCCCCTGGTCACTAACCCTACTAATACAATTATGCCTGAACCAAACTGCATCCAGAGATGTACTCATAACTCTATAAGTGGGTCGATTCTGACAGCACTTACAGACCAGAATTCAGTCATGTTTGGGAAAGAGATTTGAAAGTGGAACGCCACCCTTACTGTCAAAAATAAAACTTTTAAAATTCTAAAACATGTCCCTGTAAAAAAGACTGGCTTGTAGGGAAAGTTCCCCCTACACTGCTGCTGCTCTCCGGGGGTCACCATCTTGAATTGAGATTTACGTAGACACAGCACAGAGATCTTTGCCAGGTCTATGGGATCAGGCAGATCAGAGCCCTGCAGCGTATTTGTGCATGCGCTGGACCCCCTACGCATGTGCAGATGTAAACTCGCAGAGACCTCATGCCATTTTTGCACATGCATGAAATCCCACAAGCTGCCTCCTGGGATGCATGATGTAGAAATTCCTGGAGGCATATGCATGCGTGGAAATTCTGCAAAGGATCCCAGAGTAACCTGTGGCATTCCTGTGCATGTGCGGGGTCCTGGCATGTCTTCCTTGCCTATGCGAGAATGAAGGACCTGTACTTGAGGAAAAAAATTATTAATTATTATTATTTTTTTTTTATTGTGTTATAGGAAAGGGTTGGAGCCAGGAGACATTAGAAAAATGGTCCACATTATTATACAGGATTTATATAGCGCCAACAGTTTACTCAGCGCTTTACAATATAACGGGAGACAATACAGTCACAATACAGTTCAATACAAGAGGGTTAGGAGGGCCTGATCCTGGGAGCTTACAATCTAAGTCCACATTAAACAATTTAAGTCCTCATGCACACTGGACATTTTTACAGTGGCTGTTTTTGGCTTTTGACTTTTTTTTCTACAGCCAGTAAACTCGCCAGTGTGTTGTCCTATATGTCCATGCACACATAGACTGGAATCAACTTTTTTTTTGCAGGGGCGTTTTTTGGCTGGAAAAAACCCAGAACTAGTGAGCTTCTAGAGTTTTTTTAGCTGTAAAAATGCTCTAATGCTGAAAAAATGCATCAAAATGAGGTAAACGTGGCAAAACTTGGTAAATCGTGGCAAACCAGAGTTCTTGGATGATTTTTTACCCCCCAAAAGTTTTTTTTTTGGTTAAAAAAATGCAAACGTGAAAAAACGTGAATAAACATGGCTAAATGCTAATACAAAAGCGCTAAAAAAATGCTGAAAAACTCACGTTTTTAATGTGACTTTACACAGCTAACGTTACCAGCGTTATTAAAACGCCCCGTGTGCATGGAACTACTGATACACAATGGAAAACTATCTTCTCTCTCACACACTTTCGCAATCTCAACCTCACTCCAAGAATCAGATTACAAACTCCTATCTTACTGGTACTACACAAAGCAAAATTCCATGAAATCTTTCCTGCATAACGTCCAACATGCTGGAGCGGTTCTAACCAATGGGACGTCTTATGGACCTGCCCCAAAATGGGGTCATTTTAGCAAACAGTTATTCCAATATTTTCTAAATGATCTAACTTAGTGACTGTTGACAACCCTTGTTTTTCCTTCTGCATCTGAATGACCTCAACAAATATATTAGAAAAATCACAACCTATAATTCTACTATGATGATTATTCTGAAAAAAGAGCCATATACCCCTGGAAAAGCTATATACCCCTACTCACTGGACTGATATAGAAAGCTAAACAAATGATTTTCCTACTAGCTCCTGCTAGCACAAATCCTCCCTCCAACCCACATCCCTTTGTCCTAGCACAAATCATCTCCCCCCAGCCAAATCCCTCCTTCCAACAAGCTCCCGCCCATTAATACCCCCCCCTCCCCCTTGCCCAGATCAAATCCTCTTTCCCTCTAAATGTCCCCCCCCAAAAAAAAAAATCCTCTACCCCCCACCCCCAGTACAAATCCTCTCCTCAAATCCCCCCTCCCAATGCAAATCTCCCCATCACTCCTTCCAACAGAATCTTCTTTTCCTTCAAATCCCCATCCCTCTTCCCAGGACAAATCCACTCACCCAAAGCACCAACTGTTGTACCTCTCCCCCCAGGTGATTGTGTCCCCCAAGTAAATTCCCCTTCCCTCTCTGAACTGTACTCCTTAATCATTATGCATACATTTAATTAATGCTACTAAAATGACTATCCAAAAATTCTGAAGACAGGACTGGTGCAGAGAACTACTATAAAGGACTGGTGCAGAGAACTGAACATTATTTGTGATATGGAAAACCTTACTATGCCCCTTTGTAACCAAGACAAGGAAAAAAAAGGATATCTATTTAATATCCCTGGCTCGTCTTCAGCTATTCATTCAATATAACTGGCTCATGACCCCATCTCACTGAGCCACCTCAGAAAGAATCTAGAAACCCACCTGCCTTTTTCTCATTACTTTCATTTTTTCCACGATACATTGCATGGCAACTTTCTAGGGACCAAAAAAGGTAATTCCCACACTTTCCACCAAAAAAACCCCCCAATAGTTTGATCCTATTATGGTAAGATTCACTGTTCTTTTAACATTATATTATGCTTTAGATGTATGTTAAAGCTGCAGAAGCTCTCTATGAACTAAAATACAGTATTTCGTGATCCTGACGGTCCCTTACTAATTAAAGGTCTAGAAAGTAGTTAATTGAGTCACTGTCTTAAGCATTACTGATGACAGTAGTGTAGCTAAAAGTACTATGGGTTCCAGTGCAAATTGTGGACCCAGACCCCCTCATACAGGGCTTTCACACAAACTGGTCCCACAAATGTACATTTATAGAGTGTACCAAGCAACTGCTCCAGGGGACACCACTCTTCTGCCTTTTATTAACTTGACTTACATTAAAACTGGACTCCAATTTGCAGTAAAGTATTATTTTCTCCCCTGCCTCTAAAACCAGAGGGATTGTAGATTAAAATATTACTTACATTATTCCTTGTCCCAACTATATTTGCACAAGGATCTCTGACCATGGATGGAAGAGTGGTGACTATAACCATGGGAACCTGCATAATAAAGAGTAAACATCCAAAGAATTTAAGCATCACTGGATATCTCAAAATACATCACAAAATACATTTCAGACTCAAAATACATTTCATTCAACAGTTCCTAATTATCTAATTTTGTCTCTTTAGAGAGCAGGACTGGAGGCTTCTATTTCTGAAACCGAGGGCCGTTATGCTGTTCAACTCCACCATATCCAATCTGTAATTGGCAGCCTTGAAGAACAGCTGACCAATCTGCGTTCTGACTTGGAACGTCAGAATATGGAGTACAAAGCACTTCTCGATATCAAGGCTCACCTGGAGGCCGAAATTTCTACTTACCGTAAACTGCTGGAGGAACACGATCAGAGGTAAATACAAAAAGTACTACAACTATCTACTGCAATATCTTTTATATTGATATATGTTTTTAAACAGGTCAAAATTGAGATGGGCAGCACAAATTACACATATCAACAAAATTCTCCAATTACGCATATTTAGTCCGTACTCTATAGCTGTGTTGTATTAATCAGTTTCCATGTAGGGTGGCCAGTATAAGCTACCAAGTACTGAAAAAAGTCCAATCGGTGAATATTTTAAACCATGGAGGTCATATCACACTCAGCATTCTTTCAAAAATTAACCAATAACAGGACTGCTAAAAGCGTCAGAAAGAACAAATTCATGTGTTACTCCCTACTAGCTGGTTGAGTTCCATGTTGATCACTGGTGGAAATATTGGAAACGTAAGCTGCCAATTAGAGAGTCTTGTCTCACCAACCCAGCCAGTGAGGAAACAAGTATCTCTCCAACTTGTTTAGCCCAGTATAATGATACTGCTGCTGGTGCAACATGGCATGATCCTTTTGATGTGACCCTAGTTCAGCAAAATCATCCCTATTTAAAAAAAAATACCAGTTGTCACGATCGCACGATCGCCGCCACCAACATGCGACAATCGCATGACCGCGACCAACAATAATACGCGGCGTCAGACCCCAGACCTTCTCACCAAACTCATGACCAAAGGACCGGCCGATCTAAAACCGCGGTGTGACGCGCATAACAAGGCCATACCCAACTGCACCCTGCACAGCGATTGTCCAGCTAATGGGCTACAATAGGTGCCTGCAGCCTGAATGCGCTTGTTACTGGGTCGGGTTAATTACGCAACTAACCCTCTACTGCCACCACCACTTTTGTCGGAGACTGGGAAACTCCCGTTATCAATATACACCGTAATGGTTAAAATATTGATCTATGCAACACGGTCCGCAGGCCTGTTATACAGAGATTATAACAAACAATAGCGTCTCTTCAAAGGCAGGAATTCGTGAATTGCAAGTAAGCGCTTAGAAACAGTTTAACACTTTCAGAAAGAGAGGTTTATTACTAAAAGAGTCAAACAGGTGCAATTAAATATTTACAAAAAGATGTAACTAAGATATATATTTATATATAGATAAAGAAGACCAACACACAGCAAAGAGATAATAGGAAGGAAGTTAAAGGGTTAAGTTACTTGCCAATACGCCTTGGTTTGTAAGCAGATCCAGGTTGCAGAGCGGAAAGGGTCTTTGATCTCCTGTTGTTACGGTGTTAATATTAGGAGATGTTTTTTGCTTAGCTTTAGGCTTGCTAGCCTGTCTTTTTAAAAATCCCCCTGCAAGGGGGGTGGCTCTGAATACTCGCCACTACGCTGTTCTAGGAGGGGGTCAGTCGGGGAATTAGAACCAACATCTGTCATAATCCATGACATGAAACATAGGGGAAAAAACCTGACTTGAGGAATGTTCATTTAATTCTGTCATCTTTAACTGTTTTTTGTGAGGTTACAATCTCTTTCAAATCCGGGGAGAAGCTGCCTTATCTGTTTTATAATGGGTGAGCCTACACAGTTCTGGGGTCAGTGCTTCCCAATGCTCTGATGAGCTGGCCTTATCATGACTTAGGTGAGGAAGGCTACACTTTTCGCAGACTGCTCGGCACCGGACTAAGGATGCCTTAACCTACAGTTGACCGACACCATCTGTCACTGTGCCTCTCATGAAGGGAGGGGGTAGGGAATGAAGGACTGAGGAATACCTCCAATAGAAAAGGGGAACTCCGCGTCCAACTCTGATGAGCCAGTTTGCTACACCAGTCACTAGCTGGTGTATGAAAATATAGGTACGAAAAAGTATCAAAAACAAAGTTCACATGTATATGTGTCACACTTAAAAGGACAGCAATAATTACTGCAAAGGTGACCCAGGACCTGAACCAGGGTCTAGCAAAGCTAATGAAAATAGATTGTTATGCTCTGTTTGGCTGTTTTTGTGATTTTAAGTTGGTTGAAAGCGGTTGAACTACCTGAAAACCATTTTATATACACCTAGCATAAGGTTGGTCACACATAGGCTGGTGGTTGCAAGTGATGGCTTCGATTCAAGCATCACTTGTGGGTACTAGCTGGGGATTGAGGTCTGTATTTTTACTGGTGCCATAAATAAGCTCCTTAATAACACAAAATAGATTTGTTTGAAAACTTCAACCACTAACTGTTCTCTTTTCATTCCACAGCATTGGCGCTTCTCATAAGGAGAGTGCAGGTAACTGACTGTAATCTTTAAACTGAAATCTTGAAATGTAGCTGCAGGCTGATTTTAATTTAGCTAGAAAGACACAGCAATGGCAGCTGTCAGTGAGGATACAACAGTCATTTATTACTAGAAAACAACAGGTCACTGAGAGTTCTGCATTTTTCTGAAATGTCTCTGCATACAGAGTATGAAAAAGTTAAAAAGAAGCTTTGTTCTTCAAGCTGCGCAAACCTTTACACTCGACACTACTTTATTAGGTACACCTTGCTAGTACCAGGTTGGAACCCCTTTTGCCTTCAGAACTGCCTTAATTCTTTGTGGCATAGATTCAACAAGGTGTTGGAAACATTCTTCAGAGATTTTGGTCCATATTTACATGAGTTACTGTTGCTTTTCTATCACCTCAAACCAGTCTGCCCATCCTCCTCTGACTGACATCATCAAGGCATTTTCGTCCCACACAATTGACAATCACTTTTCTCTTTTTCAGACCATTCTTTGTGAACCCTAGAGATGGTTGTGCGTGAAAGTCCCAGCAATTTTTGAAATACTCAGACCAGCCCCTTCTAGCACCAAAAACCATGCCACGTTCAAAGTCACTTAAATCCCCTTTCTTCCCCATTCTGATGCTCAGTTTGAACTTCAGCAAGTTGTCTTCACCATGTCAAGATGCCTAAATGCATTGAGTTGCTGCCATGTAATTGGCTGATTAGCAGTTTGTGTTACCCAGCAATTGAACAGGTGTACCTAATAAAGTGACCAGTGAATGTACATGCTAAACATGCTATACATATCAAACACTATTATAACATAATAGATATCATAATGCTGAATTAACATTCTGCAGCCTTGCTGGACTTTTTTTCATGTTACAGAAGCACTGTTGCACTTACAAACATATTTTAATATTTTTAAACAGCTTGGCCTCTCTACCTAGACATATGAGTCCAGGTACCTAGGACAGTATTGTATGAGTGCGGCTGGAGGAAAGCAAGTAGAAAACTAGACTGTAGAAAAATCCCATGGTACCATAAGTTATTGCTTCTGAACTCTTTGGGAACAGGATACCTAATAAGAACAAAAGGTTTGCAGATAACCCCCACCATGCCACCCTTTTCCATGCTGACACCTCTTTCTGGGAGCACTAATTACCTTTGACTACTACAGGTACTCAACAGTGTTATTCCTTTGTTAATTCCACTCCCAAAGTACCCAACCACAGTGAAAAAGGGTTTGGGGCTGGTATCAATTTGCTAGGGAACTGCATTTTCACTATCTATGCCAAATGCCTTGTGTGCTAAGCCAGTATCTCAAAGTGTTTGTGGTTAAGAATTAATAAATTAAGACCCTTTGTAGTTAATCATCCTCTTCAGCATGCCATAATGGAGAAGGTCTGTACCAGGAAAAAACTTTCCATTATGCAAAAATGGCCTTCTTTTAGTCAATATAAGTTGTGCTTTTGGCATGATCAGAGCAGGATTGCTCAATTTTCAGTAGGGTTAGATAGACCATGGCCAAGGGCACAATGGCTGCCAGGTGCATTAGCTAGGGCCTAGCATAGTGTGGTGACTGTATGGGCAGTAGGCTGTTATTAGGTGCCTGGCCTGGACGGAGGTCTTGGTGATCATCTAAGAAGGATGGAATTTGCCAATATGGAAAATAAAGTTTGAAGTAAACCTTTGCCCGGCAAAGGTGCCCTAGGAGGTTGCCTCCGGGCTGAAAATGTATGAATCCAGCCCTGGTTTACAATGTAGACAGGGATAATCGAACTTTTTTTTAATTAGAACTCCTTTTTTCCTTATTACTAAACCTCAACACAACTTCTACTATATGAATCCTGGGATTTGTAGAACCATGAATCTTTTCTTTTTGCCTTACTAGGGCCGGGTACAACCACTACTACTACTACTACGAAGGTTCAAACTGTTGTGAAACAAGAGGCTTCCCCAGCTGACAAAAAGTGAACAAAGACAAAATAACATCTGCTTCTGCATGCGCTTGAGCCTTGCGTTATGATCAGCTACTCAGAAGAATCCCTGCAGCACAGAAACCATATCATTTATGCAGTTTCTTGATTTTTTATATTACATTCACCAGCTCTATAATACGAAGATATACTCAATAAAGAACCATGCACCATTTCCAAAGTCTGATATATAATTTTTTCCTGTTACAGAGCTGATCATTATCCAGATTTTGATCCAAAGAATTTGTTTTGTTGGGTTAGAAAATGTGCACACCATTTGTCTTAGAAAACACTTCATCTATTTACAGCAATGATAGAGCTCAAACTAGGGGTTCATATTTACACCAACGTTTGGGGACTTGACCTAATAAGATTGATGACCACTTCAGACCCAGAACTGAATAAAGTTGGTAAAAATGTTGCAATAACTCATCAGTTGGGACTAGGCACAACCAACAATTTGTGTGCACATGGTTCAAAAAATGTGGTCACAAATATTTCTACATTAGGTGGGACTGGTTTTGATGACCTGTGCTATTTTTACTGTTCTTAAACAACATCTGTGAAGGAATACAGATATTTAAATATCAACAATACTAAATGGCTGTCAGAACACACCACTAACCTTAGCATTTGCCTTTCAGAGCCACTGGTAGAATACATATTGGCACCTGTAATTCCTCTACTTCCTGATAGAGCAGAATGCACACTGCCTTTCCTTGTCCCCCCTATACTGTATAATGTTCCAGGCCTTGGAAGATCATCAAGAAAAAATTTGTACATAAATGGTCACCTTATGAAAGTCACTCTGCATATTCAA